TGGCGACCCCTCCCGCGGGGCTCCGGCCCCTCTGTGGGCTCCCGGGACTTGAGGCGACCCCCACCTCCCGCGGGGCTCCTCTCGGGATGCGCCCCTACCCAGGCTTGAGCCTTGCTCTCCTCTGCAGATGGCCGCGGCCGGCTTCATCCACTGCCCCACCGAGAATGAGCCCGACTTGGCCCAGTGCTTCTTCTGTTTCAAGGAGCTGGAAGGCTGGGAGCCAGATGACGACCCCATGTAAGTACCCCAGGCCAGCCTCGCTGGGCTTCCGGGGTGCCATGCTCCATCGGGAGCGTCTGTTCTGAGCTGGGCTTGGGAAAACTTTCTGGATTTCAAAGACGTTTAGTGAAGGAGCCACGGTTTTATAACCTTATTTCGCGCCCTAAGCAGCTGTTGCGAATGGCTGAATCTCTGTGCGCTGGCGCCTCGGCGATGCTTCCAACCTAATTAACCCGATTTGGCCGAATGCCCCTCGGGGTGCATGCTGAAGAGCGCCTCACTCTTGTAGGTGCTTGGTGCCTTTCAGGGTCCACAGACTATAGGAGCATATCCCGTTGCGACCTGGGGATGTCCAGGTGCTTTCCTCGTTTTAGCGTTTTGAAATCTATAACTTTATTGAGTTATAAATCACAACCACAAAAAAAACACCCTATTAAAGTGGTACACTTTGGTATTTATTTGTTCTTTGAGGTGCCTAGTTATTTTTTTTTGTAATTCTGTGTATACTCGTATCCAGATAGGTCACAATAGCTGTGTTTCCGCGACTTTAATGTTTTTCCCTAGAGAATCACTCGAGGTGTTTCTCTCTTGGCCAGGAGACTGTTGCCGTTTTTCCTAATGTGTTTGCTCTTATGGCCCAGTATTAACTGGATGGCGTGGCGAGCATACCGGGAATCAACGGGGGAAGCACCTGTTGTGTTCTCGGGAGTGAATTTCTGCCTGCTGTAATGCTTTCAGACCCTGCTTACTATTGGCTGGCCTTTCGGACTCTGGCCGTATGTGCGTTCCAGGACCACGGTGGTTCAGTGCTGTCCGCTCAGCAGGGCTAATTCCCAGGGCAGAAAATGATGGTGCGAGGCAGAGCACGTGGCGGAAGAAGCCCGGAAGCACCTGTTGTGTTCTCGGGAGTGAATTTCTGCCTGCTGTAATGCTTTCAGACCCTGCTTACTATTGGCTGGCCTTTCGGACTCTGGCCGTATGTGCGTTCCAGGACCACGGTGGTTCAGTGCTGTCCGCTCAGCAGGGCTAATTCCCAGGGCAGAAAATGATGGTGCGAGGCAGAGCACGTCGCGGAAGAAGTGCCAGCCTCGCCCTCATTCCAAACAGTAGACTGTGCACCAATTCCAGTGACGTGAGATCGCTTCACACGGTTCCTCGAGGACTTTCGAGGGGTTTGACGTGTGATAGCTCTGGACTCATAACATGTAACCCTTTTCCTCGTAACTGCTTAAGGGCTCCAGGCAAAAGGCAGAGAGAAGGCGCTAAGATGAGCTGTGTGGGAATGTGGCCGGGGACCTAGCGCTCGCTGGTCCCATCTATTTCAGATGTCGCACTTTGCTCTCGAAGCAGAACGGGGGTGTCTGAGACTGCGAAAGGGACCGTTGATAATGAACTGTTGCTTTCTCCCTTTACTAACTTTCTCCGTCGACCTGCCCTTGTATTGATTTTTCTTTTTTTTTAGAGAGGAACATAAAAAGCATTCGTCTGGTTGTGCTTTCCTTTCTGTCAAGAAGCAGTTTGAAGAATTAACCCTCGGTGAATTTTTGAAACTGGACAAAGAAAGAACCAAGAACAAAATCGTACGTATTACTGAGAGGAAGCCAAGAGCCAGCGCTGCTCAGCATCTTTAACACTCAGCTTCCCAGCCCCGTGGGCTGTTTCCCTCTGTGACCATTTTTTAAGACCCTCGGATGTGTGTGTGAGGATGTGAAAGGCCAGAAAAGCGTTTGTCCTGGAGCGTGGTCTTGGAGTCGCTCAGTCAGAGACAGACGTGTCCCCTCAGTGAAGGTGTGTTCAGTGTGAGGCTCCCTCTGGTGGTGGCACACAGTGATGGTTAGTTAGGCTGCCATTCCTGCCTTCAGTGACAGTCGAGATCAGTGTTGGGAACAGAGGGTTTGAGGACACAGCAGAGCATGTATTGGGGGAGGGGCTTTACGTGTATTGGGAAGAAGCGGTGCCATTCTAGCTGGATCTTGAAGGGATTTCTGCAAGTGAACTTTGACTCTGGGACAGGCGGGCTGTGTCGTTGGGAGACTAACCACAGAGTGAAGCCCTGAGTCCCCAGAGGGGAGGTTCCCCAGCAGTCTGGGCTGCAGAGAATGGGGTTCCAGAGAGAACCAGGATTCCCAGTTAAATCTGAATTTCAGATACACAAGATATAGTTTCTTAGTATATCTCACATTTTATATGGGTGCTTATAAACAATCACTAGTTTATATGACGATCACCTTTAACTAGGCATGCTCTGTATTTGCTCAACCTGGTAGCCTTACAGAGAATAAATATTTAGGTGTTTAATATCCTTGTAGCAAAGCACTGGGCGAGGGTCCCCCCTCCTGGTTGTCTGTGACTTTCGGCCAGTCTTGGTCACGCTTTCCTTGCTGCCAGGTGGAGGCTAGAGCCCCAGGTTTCTAAGGCCCTTTCCAGATGGAAATTGTGTTCGCTTCCAGAGACGAGAATGAAACACTGTCCAACGTAGTAGCCTTTAAACGCTGAGGACCAGAGTCTCCTGTCAGGAAGGGAGGAGACGCTGGTCAGTGAGCGAGCCGTGGGACGGCTGCTTGCTCGGGGAGAGCCCCAGTCAGGGGTCAGTGCACGTCTGGGCGCTGCCTCAGACAGCAAGCGGCTCAGCCTTCACGGGCCACGTAGTTTCTGTGAGGTGTTATTTCTTGTTTTTCCCAAGTGTTTAAAACTGTGAAAACCATTCTTAGCCCAATGGTCATATGAAAAGCAAGCCACAGGTCCCGCGGGCCGTAACAAACCGGCTTTGCAGACGTAAGGGACAGTCGTGAGAAAGCTGTGCCCGAGGAAGCGGGAGGCAGAGGAGGGTGTGGCCAGGGAGGTTAAAGCCGGTTCCACGGAGAGAGCCAGAGAACTCGAGGTACTCACAGTGTAGGAGGCGCCGCAGCTGTGACAGCCAGGCCCGAAACGCCACCTGGGTGCCGTGGACCCTGTGGTCGGGCGGGCGGCCTTTGGGGAGGTGACGTGGGAGCACTGCCTGCGCGGGGGGCCCACCAGGAGATGCCCGCCATCGTCTGCGAACTATTTTCTGTTCTTCCCTAAGTCAGAACACAGGATGCTGTGAGTGGACACATTTGTTTTTTACTTTAATAACAAAACAATATGAGCTTCTATAAGGAACAGTCAAAGTCTCCCCTCTCCGTGCTGGGGGTGACCACTGCTAACTAGTGCATTTCCTTCCAGATGATTTTAAAATTTATATATTTTAAAGAAGAATAGAAAGTTTAAGCTGTTCATACTTTTCTTAATTGGTTTATAAAAGTTATGCCGTAGAAAGATTTTTCATGTCCGTGGTCGTCACCTCTGCTGCTGTGACGCTTTTGGGCTGTGCGTCTGTCCGTGCAGCCACCAGCCACGTTCAGCTGTCAAAGGTAAGTGAAGTGTAGCCTTCAGCTCTCTGGCGCACTTGCCCTGCTCGGTGGCTCCACGTGGCCAGCGGCTGCCAAACTGGACAGTGCAGGGAACAGAACATTTTCGTCATTGCAAAAGGTTCTGCTGGACAGGGTTGTTTTAGGGTGCCAACCAGCTGTGAGGTCTGCTGCAGATAATGTCAGTGATGTGAAAACAGGCACCCTGGTGTCCTGGTGTGAATGGGTGCTGAGGGTGGGGTCACAGCCAGGGCTGGGAACGGGCATGACCTGAGGCCTGTCTGCATCACGCTGGGGCACCCAGGGGCAAAGTGGGGTCCCTCACTCCCCTGGGTGGTTTGGCCTGCGAGCCCCGTGTTCCGTGGTCGGGGCTGATTCTTTAAACCATTTAGTCGGCTCTGCGATCGCACCCGGCGGTGTAAGGCAGTCATTTATTAGACAGCTTTCAAAAAGAACCGGGTGACAGGACATGTTGCGGGACAGATTCCAAAGACGAGGCGCGGGTGCTGTTCCTCGTGTCAGACGGAAGTGTGACAGAGTCGCCCGCGGGGCCCCGGTGCAGAGGGCGGCCGCAGCAGGCGTGGGGCCCGGCTCGCTTCATGCGGCTGCATCTCTGCCTCCGTCTTTTGGGAAAAGAGAAAATAAATTCGCACCGATTTGAAAATGGATCCGTTCCGAGAGCAAACACTGTGGGGACAGGCAGAGAAACTTGCTTCCGTGTGAGACGGGGGGTTGCAAACGCCTGCGGGGGCTGCGGGGGGCAGCGAGGCGCCGGGGGGTGCGTCCTAAGCCCGGTGGCAGAGTGCGGCCCAGCGAATTTTGTCGTATTTTTCAGTAGCGGGTTCCTTGTTCTTGCTTCAAACCCCTTTTATTAGAAAACATGTAAAATGAAGTCGTTGGCCTTTGTGTAGTGGTTGAACTACAGCCTGCGTAGAGGGGCTTAATTAGTTTTAGGCTTTTTTGAAAGAAAAGAAAAAGTTAATAAAAAAAAATCTGTCTTAAAAGGCCACGGTCGCCTTTCCGCGTCGGTGAGGACAGAGCTCGCGGGCCGCGCAGGTGTCCCCTCCCAGGCCCGCCGCTGTCCGTTTGGTGCTGTTTTCTCTCGTTCTTGTCAATTTATTATTTTTAAAATTACATTTACTTTTAATTAATCATTTTAAAATAAGTAAGCCTTATACATGGCGGAAAGTTTAAGACAGAAAAAAGTACATATTGAAAAGTAATTTAAAAAATGTTAGCCTTTCTCATTTTTCTTCATAAATCTAACCCAATAAAGTTC